TTTAAGCCAGCCCGGGGCCAGGAGGGGGGCAGATGAGTTTCCCTGGTGGTGCCCAGAGTGGCCACCAGAGAAAGCTGGGGAGGGCTAGCCTCCCACTAGTTCGAATTAAGTGGCTACACAGCCCTTAATTCGAACTAGTTAATTTGAACTAGGCATTAGTCCTCGTGGAATGAGGTTTGCCTAGTTCGAATTAACTGCACCGCTAGTTCGAATTAAGTTCGAACTAGCGGTTTGCATGTGTAGCGCCTATCAAAGTTAATTCAAACTAATGTCTGTTAGTTCGAATTAACTTTGTAGTGTAGAAATTAAGTGGCTACACAGCCCTTAATTCGAACTAGTTAATTTGAACTAGGCATTAGTCCTCGTGGAATGAGGTTTGCCTAGTTCGAATTAACTGCACCGCTAGTTCGAATTAAGTTCGAACTAGCGGTTTGCATGTGTAGCGCCTATCAAAGTTAATTCAAACTAATGTCTGTTAGTTCGAATTAACTTTGTAGTGTAGACATACCCCATAACTCCCATGCAGTTGGGGAACCCCAGTGCAGTGAAGCCAGCCATGATTGCATGCACATCCTTCAGGCGGATGACCCTCTTGAGCAGGATGTCATTGATGGCTCTGACAACCTGCAGAAGGGCACACAGAAACACAGGGAACACACAGAATGAGGCAGGGTGGGTGCCTAGCCCTTGGGGTGTGCCTGCCCCCCTTTGATGCCCTTTCCCCATAAACATGCAAGGGCCCTCTTGCCCCGGAGGCCCCCCCTTTCCCGCTACCAGCAGGCCTATGTGAGGGAGGGACGGCACCAGACCCTGGGTGACAGGGCTTCCCCTCCCCCCCGTCTCCCTCCAGCCTGGAATCTTCCCTTCCCCCGGGCAGGGACTGCAGCCCCTCTCTCCCCTGAGGTCCTTACCTGCATCAAGATGGCACCCACTGTGGACCTGCCCACCCTGAACTGGTGTGCCACTGAGCAGTAGCTGTCTGGGGTGGCCAGCTTCCACAGGGCGATGGCGACCCTCTTGTTGACGAGGGTGGCGGGCTGCAGCTGTGTGTCGTGTCTGAGGAGCGCAGGGGTGAGCCAGCTAAACAGCTCCAGGAACGTCTGCTTCTGCATCCGAAAGTTCTAGAGCCACTGCTGATCATCCCATTGCTCCCGGACCAGCTGGTCCCACCAGTCAGAACTGGTGTTGAGTCTTCAGTAGTGCCTCTCCACGGTCGGGTAGGAATGCCACAGCAAAGACGCTGCATCCAGGGAGAGGGAGTCTAGATTGAGCTCTGCGTCAAGTTCGTGCAGGAGTAGCGAGGCAGCATTCAGCAGCAGCTGTACGCACTCCAAAATGGCTGTGTGGAGCCCTGGCTCCATGGCACAGCAAGAAGAAGGCAATAGTCCCCAAAGGCACTAAGGCACAAGCTGTGGTGTCCAAAGAGGCTCAGGGCAACCACAACAGGCACTGCTACAGCTTTCAGTCTCAACCCGAGGTCCCAAAGTATGCAGCAGCAGAGAAATGGCTGTCCAGGGAGATCCCTTTTAGCATGTCTCAGAGAGGCTCCAGCCCCCGCCCCTGGAAGGTACTGGTGTCTTTTGTCCTGTCCGAAGTGGTTCCGGGGGGAGGTCATTGTGCATAAGCGTTCTGCCAGTGTGGACACTGTCTTGTGCATAAGCGCTTTGCTTTTGCCATGCTCTTTGAGCAGTGTGGATGCACTCTTGCGCAAGAACTTTTGCACAAGAATTCTTGGGCAAAATAGTTCTCATGCAAGAAGCCTGCAGTGTAGATGTAGGGTGCTCCTATACAGCTCCTTCGTGAGAAATATTGGTCTTCATTTTGAAAGATACACAAACCTTGATGGGGAAGACCATTTACTTCAGTGGTGTATCAGTCTCTGAGATACTTATCCAAACTGAACCTGGGTATCTAAAATATTTTGCAATTTCATAGGGGGTGATTAGTTTAATGAAGGGGTCCCCGTCCTCCTAAATCAGAAAACTCCAAAGGGATTAGTGTTAACATGGAATTCTGAGACCTTAGCTATATCAGGTATAGGGGGTACCACTATGGATAGGAAGCTGAAACACAAAGCAGGTTCTATTCACAACTTCTTTTCTCTACTTTTGATTCTGTGAGCACTGTGAAGCAGATGCAGTTCTGGGAGCCCTGGCTGGATTCTCTGCTGTCCCGAGTCCTTGGCAGTCTTTTTAGTTAAATTCCAGTGATCCAAATTTTATAGCTGCTGATGAATGTCAGAAAGAGACAAATTTGACCTTCTGTTTCAGGCTGAGTTTGCAGGACTAGCAGTTAGAAAGGTGGGATTTACACTTTCTCTGGAAGTCTCCGAGGGCATGTCTACACTATCTCCCCTTATTTTGAAATAACAATGTGAGTGTCCACACAGCAAACCAAATTATTTTGAAATAACGGTCTTGTTATTTAAAATAGTAACCTCTACTTCTGATGGAGTATGTCTACACAGTAATGTGTACCTCAAAATAAGCTACACAATTTGAGCTACGCAAATTGCATAGCTTTTTTCAAAATTGCTATTCCAGTGTTTTCCTTTATCTTCATGCAATGAGATTTATAGGAAGCCAAAATAAGAAGCCTGTTATTCTGAACGTATTTTGAGATAATGGGTTTCTTGCATAGACAGTGTAGAACACTATTTTGGGATAATGGAAATAGCCCTGCTGTGTAGACTACCCATAAGGAATAACACCTATTTCAAAATTGTTATTTTGGGAGTTATCTTGAAATAATCTAGTAGTGTAGATATAGCTCCAGAGGTAATAATAATGGCTATATTTAGACAGTTGAGCTATTTCGGGATACCAGAAGCACCCCAAAATGACAATTCTGTATCTTTAAAGGTGCCTGTCATTTCCAAATATATTCTGAAATAATGAGTGTGCTATTTCAGTGTCCCCGTAACCATGAGGCTTAAGGGACTTGTTGGAATAGTGCTTTATTTCAAAATTTGGCAGTGTGTAGACAGTACCGAATTTTGAAATAAGCTATTTTGAAATGATCGTGAAATAAGCTATGCAATTTGTGTAGTGCAAGTTGTGTAGCTTATTTTGTAATAAATTACTATTCCGAAACGTTGCTTACTCCTGGTGGAATGAGGTTTTCAGGGACGCCTGAATATTATTTCCAAATAACAGGCACCACAGTGCAGACCTAGCCTCAGAGTAGAAATGTCATGGAGCCAGGGCACACCTCCATCCACTATGCAACAGAGTTTCTTTGTACAGAGAAGCAAGGAGGCTGACGGAAAACGCAGGCTTTTGGAGGGCGCCTTGCTTTCGTGGCTGGCAGATATCCAGGTTTTCAGGGACGCCTGAATATTATTTCCAAATAACAGGCACCACAGTGCAGACCTAGCCTCAGAGTAGAAATGTCATGGAGCCAGGGCACACCTCCATCCACTATGCAACAGAGTTTCTTTGTACAGAGAAGCAAGGAGGCTGACGGAAAACGCAGGCTTTTGGAGGGCGCCTTGCTTTCGTGGCTGGCAGATATCCGCCCTGCAAAGCGGGGGCCCGAGCAGGTTTAGTTGCACCGACTGCGGGAGCTGGCCCATTCCGCCGTGAGTCGGACCGAAGCCTCCTCCTCGTATGAGACCAGCCTGGCTACCGCCGGGGAAATGCAGCCGGCTGATGGGAGAAGTTAACGCGGCTCGGACTGGAGCAACCTCCTCTCTGCCTGTCATTGTCTCAGAAGAGCGCGCGGCGCTAGACCCTCCCCTGCTGTAGGGGGCGCTGTGGGGAAGCGGGAGCCCAGCCGGCCCCTCTTCTCCGGCCGGGTCTCATGCTCCGAGCCAAGCTGGCCCGTTGCTAGGTACCCGAGCGCGTCCTCTCTTCCCCTCCCCGCCGCTCCCGGCCCGGTGTCCGGGCAGAGCCGCCGCCCCACGGGAAGGGCTGTGGCCGCGCCTCTCCCTGCCTGCGTCCCGGGCCACGGGCTGTGCCCAGCGGGGTCCCTTGAGCCGGGACTGACTCCACGGGGGCAGGTGAGAGAGCTCGGTCCAGCGCCCCACTGACCCGTCAGCGTCCCAGTCAGGGGCTGACCTGTAGCTGGAGGAGGGGGTTTCTTTTAGACGGTGTCGGTCATGGGGAGGGACAGGGCGGCTGGGTGGGTGCTTAGGTGGGGTCCCGTTTGCGGGTTGGTACATTTCATGTTGGGGAGGTCAGATTGGATCTTTTTGGCGGTTGCCGGTCGGTGAGTATCTTTTCCAGATACTCTTTTAAAGGGAAGATTAGTTGGGGCGGAGGGACATCTTTTTTTTTTTATGCGGAACTTCTGGAGGGAGTCATTTGTTATGCAGGAGGAGGCTCCACCTGCTGTCCTTTTGCATTGAGGACTCTTATTTTGAGACTTCCTCTACAGTGACCCCCAAAAGAAAAGAAAAGAAATCCCCCAACCTTCTAGCAGCTGCTAGCAGAGATAGCAAAGGTTCAAGTTGCTGTACATAAAATGCTAGTGGCTGGGGGGGTTTTTTTAATCACATATTGTGAGTAGTCCTATGGAAATCAATAAAACTACTTACAGTGCACAAAATTAAGGATGTGCACAAGCCTGCAGGATTGAGGTCTATAGCAGGATTGGTGTATGTAACATATATACACACACACACACATTTCTGTCTTACTTTATAGACCGTATACATTAAGAAGAAATGGCTAGAAAACATGAGCACTTTGGACTAAGTTATTTAGAAGAACTAAGAATGATTAAAGAGCGTGAGATTATATGCAAGGAATCTCGGCGAGATTTTCTTAAATTCAAACAAGCGGTAGCTATTGCCCATACAAACGTGAGCAGTCAACCTTTACTGGAAGATTTAACACCAGATCAGTCACATCAGTTAGAGCAGTATCATCTTCAGAGGTCAGAGAGTCCACATAAGCCTGTTATTAATATAAATAAAACTGTACCTACAGAATTCATTGGCAGTTCTGAAATAGCCAGAAAAGTTAGGATCTCTCCTGAAGTAAGAGACATGAAAAAACCAATTAATGATCTCAGAATGATGATGCAAACAAATACATCTGTAAAAGAGGACAGTACCTACACAAATCAGAAAAGTTACTCTGAAAAAATAACTGTGGAAAATAGTAGTTGTAGTCAAGAAAGTACAAATGTAAAGATGCCAGTAATAGCATCTTTAGCAGGTACCACTAAAAAAATCACTATGTTAAAACAACCAGCACCACCTCGGAAGCCTAAATATCGCAAACTTACTTTTCATCCACGACTAGTAATTTATAACCCCCCCATTCTGTTACAGAAAGTCAAAGATACTAGAAAAATGCAGGGTAGAGCCCATTCTATAAAGGCAAATGTTAAGAATGTAGAAACAAATAAAACAAAAGAAACTAGCAATGACAGTAAAGAAAGTGATGAATCTAGTTCTACAGATTCAGATTCAAGTGAAAAGGCTTCTGAAAAGGAAAAGGTAATTAAGAAAAAAGATAAGAAAGTATACAGAGAACTTTCAAAAGCAAGTCAACAAGATTCAGTTATTGAACCGGAAAAAGCACAGAGTAAAAGAAGCAGAGTCTCCCGCAGTCATCCAAGTGTGAGGTCTACTTCAGAACAGTTGGAGGAGGCTAGAGACATAACTACACCAGACACTTCAAAAATATATGAGGAGAACTTCCAGCAGAGCAAACCAGAAGAACTTACTTCCACACCAAAGTTGCCTGTGAGAGTGGCTGCAAGGTCTATTGATGAAATAATTGCTTCGCTGCAGTCTACTTTTCAGTCTCCCTCAGACCAGATGATCAAAGAACTCCTGGAGAGTGTTCTTGGCCAGAACTACAGCATAAAAATGGAAGTAGGTAAACCAGAACAAGAACAATATTTTCTTTTGGGTAAATATTACTTTTAGAAAAGTTGTATATTTGTTTTTCAGATCCTACTATGTGTTATAACACAGAGGCCAGACAAGCTGAATGGGTAAAAACATTGATGTGTCATAGAACTTCCTTCATTTTTTCTTACTGTCAATTTGCAGTGTCCTTTAAAAGTAAAATCAAGTCAAGATTAAAACTTGTTAAAATATAACTTCATTTAAGGGTCTCTTTTTGGACTCTGTCAACAGAGGGATGTAAATGAGACACTTCAAAATTGCAAATGACCGCGGTTTTACTTTCAAAATGGCGCTTTTTCGAAAGAGCACCATTACGCAATTATGCAAATGAAGTACAGGATATTTAAATCCCTGCTTCATTTGCAATTTTGAAGTGTCTCATTTACATTCCTCTGTTGAAAGAGGGATGTAGTCTAGACACAGCCTACTTATAATCTAAATGGTTTTTCTATTTCCCTTTTAAAGGGATATGTTTGATATTGACAGATTAACAGAAGTGTTAAATGTAATTAGAAGGTAACAGTGTTAAAAATGTCAGTTTTCAGTTATTGGTTAGCACTGTGAAATCACAATTAAACTGTTAATAAGTTACTGTTAGATTTATTAATTTGGTGTTAGAGATCCTCTCATCTACTGTGGTAATGTTTACAGTAAAAGACTAAAGCCAGGTCTACATTAGACCTGGAAGGTTGGCTTAAGGTATGCAATTCCACCTATGTAGAATATGTAACTGGAGTTATCTTACCTTAAGCCAAGCATGGCGGCATCCCCACAATGGGACTTTTGACTGTCCTTACTCCTCACAAGTGCGAGGAATACAGGTGCTGGCCACAGCTGCCCTTGGCATTTGATTTATGGGTCTATACTAGACCCATAAATCAAATGCCAGAATGTCGATCTCCAGTGTGGTGAGTGAAGATGTTCCCTAAGGCATTAAGCATTAAAAAAAATGCTATTGAAGACTGTTAATTAGACAGAGAACCTTTTACTTAGCCATTATGGATTCAGTTCCTAATCAGCACAGGAAATATTATCAGATGTCTCTTGGGATTGTGTGAAAATAAGTTGATGAAAGGATCTGATTCCATTTCCAAATGATCAGGTGTTCACATAGAATCATAGAAATGATGGGTTAGAAGGAACCTCCAAAGGTCATCTAGTTCAGCTCCCTCACCAAAATCATTGTTGGAACTGGCACCCAAGTGATATTTATGTGATTTTAATGTTTTCTATTTACATTCTGTATGTTCTGTTTTGATGTTTTTCAAACAACAGGTCATGACCCAGTACTGGGTCATTCAATGTTAGATAGTGGGTCTCATTTCTGCAGAGTGACCAGTGGGGGTAGCTCAGGCTAACTTCCTGTCCTGGAACTACATACTGCGCTGCACCCCAGAAGTGGCTGGCAGTAGGCCTGGCTCCTAGGTGCATGAGGAGAGAGAGTGCACAGGCATCTATGCATTGTCCCTGGCCCAAGCACTAGCTCTCCACTCCTATTAGCTGGGAATCTGCTGCTGCCTACTTTTGGAGAGCAGCATGATTTGAGGTGCCTGGAGAGGCAGGATGCCTGCCTTAGCATCCCCGCTGCATCGCTGACTGGGAGCTGCTCAAGGTAAGCCCCTCCTGCCCAGCCTTGATCCCCCCAAAGTCAGAGCCCCTGCTATACCTAAAGCTTTCATCCTCAGCCCCATTTCAGAGCCCACACTCTAGTCAAATTATATTGGGTTGCAGGCATCAACAATTTTCTTCAAGTTTGAAAACCATTGTTCTGGTTGAGATTTAAATTATGGTTCAGACATAACAATCGTATATTTCTTGGATAGATCTACTTATGGCACACCATTAATTGAGAAGGAATCCTTGTGGAAGGTATAAATACTAAAACAGCAATATCTGCAAACGTAAGCAGAAGTGCTAAAATAGATTGAGCATGCATTTTTCACCAGTTAACCTCTGATCATATATTGCTAGCTGGCACAGTGAGAACAGTTTCATATAGATAGAGATTATGTGCAGATATTTTAAACGTTCTCTTTTTCACTGTTTTCTTGAGGCCTAATCCAACACCTGTTGAAGATTAAGGCAGTCTTTTAATTGATTTGAATAGGATTTGGACCAGGCCCCTAAGCAGGAAGGTCAGACTGTAAGCAGGAAGGTCAGTGCAATATGACAAATAGTGTATCTTAAACCAATAGAATGAGGTAATAGGTCCTGATATATAAGAACAGGAAAAAGAGATTCAACATCACTTTCCCAAGCTGGAATATACAATTTTCCTCTTTTGCCACATCTGCACATTTTTTATTCCATTGCTTTAAAATACACTTTTTGATCGTTAGTAGGAAGAACAACAACCTTTTAGCATTCTTTTACAGGCAGTCCCCGACTTACGCGGATCCGACTTATGTCGGATCCGCAGTTACGAACGCGGCTTTTCTCGCCCCGGAGGACACGGACTGCGGGACCTCGTGGTCCCGCCGCCCGTGTACTCCGGGGCTAGAAAAGCTGCTGCGCGTCTCCCTGGTCTGCAGACCAGGAAGACACGGAGCAAAGCCGCGGAGGGGCTGGGGCTGTGGTGCAGCCCAGGCGTGCCTGGGCTGTCCCGCTGCAGGTGTGCTCCAAGGCTTTGCTCCCTGTCTCCCTGCAGACCAGCAAAGCCGTGGAGGACTTGGGCGTCCCCACCCCGTCTCCCTGGTCTGCTGGGGGGGGTGCAGCTAGTGCCCCTCCCCCAGCAGACCAGGCTTTTCTTGCCTACCCCTGGGGTAGAGCAGCTGGGGGCTGCCAGGTTGGTCCCACAGCGCTGCTCCGGAGAGATTTAAGAACAGGTTAGATAGACATCTGTCAGGGATGGTGTAGGTGGAGCTTGGTCCTGCCTTGAGGGCGGGGGG